GCTACGTGGATGACATAAAAACCCGTGTCAATGGAAGACTTGGACACAAAATCGATCCACAAATCCCTAAAATCAATCACTCTGCACCCGAATTTGTAATAAGTAAATTGAAGTTGAGATTATATTGCAATTACCCAAAGATTGGGATAAAATTGCCAACCGCAAAAAGGTTATGGTTTATTTAGCAATTAACCCTTTTAAAAAATTAAAAGGTCATTAATTAATAAGTTATTATAATAAGTATGACATTCATAAAGTAAACATAAAATCGTCATTGGTAAAAAGTTATACATTATGAAAAACCTCCTTATATACAACGTTATTAGTTTGATTACTGGGTAACTCATCGTCCCCACAAACTAATATTTTCAACTCCTTCCTATTAGTAACACGTGAAATAGCGTATAACTGGCCATGACTAAAAACAGGTTTTTTCAAGAACAATCTAACATGTGATAAAGACTGACCCTGACTCTTGTTTATGGTCATGGCATAGGAAACCATAAGGGGAAATTGTCTCCGTTGGAACTTAAACGGAACCCTAACATTAGAAGGAGTTATGCTCATCCGAGGAATCAACACCTTCTCACCTGCGTGATCTCCAGTCAAATCCTACATTCAAGAACATGCGGAGAGAGCTTCGTAAAATATGGTGTATATATATATATATATATATATATATATATATATATATATATATAGAAATCAATTAATATATATTAATTTCAAATAAGTTAATTGTTGAGTTTAATTACAAAATTATGGAAAGGGAATAAAAATTGGATGATATAAGATTTTGGGTATTTAATAGGAATGCTAATCTTTACATGAGAGTCCAACTTTAATTAATTGATGAATTGAAATATTAATATTTTTTTTTTTGTTGGCAGGCTGTACAAAAATTGCATGATATGCGGCCACAAAATGTATCTTATGGATTTGTACGCTTGAATTATCTTGTAGAAGATATAAACTATTTTTGTATTAAATCTGCGAAAGTATAAAACGTGTTGAATAAAGAAAAATCGCATTTATGGTATCTATATTGTTGGGTTCGTATTGAGCTTAATTTTTATACATATGAACTAAACGATTATATATTTGGGTATCAATAAAAACGCATTTTATAGAGTTTTTTTAAATATATTTTTTAAACTAAACGAATATATATATATATATATATCTAGTAATATATGTAGAGTTTTAATTGAATATATAGAAACATTTTTAATTCATGATAATAATTGATGTACGTCATTAAACTTAATCTTTATACATACACAATTAAGTAATACAATTTATTATAGAAACAAAACTTTATACACGAATGAATTATTAATTGATTATAGAAACACAATTTATAGAAACACAATTAATTAATTTATAGAAATAATTTATAGAAATGAATCTCCCAAATGTATTATTATATTATTTAATTATATTATTTAATTGATTGATTAATTAATTAAGTTTAATTTTTTTAAGTGCATAAAAGAAAAAAAGAAGAATTCAATATTATAATTTAAACAACAATTGGAACTCAATAATTCAAGCGTGTCCATATAAATCATTAATCGAAATGAATGAGAGACGTCATCTCACGATAACAGATATAATAACACTAAAATTCATAATTCATCGACATGGAATGACAATAAAACATTTTTGTATAGCGTATTATGTCTTTAATAAATGCACCCTACAAAATAAATTTATAAATATTAATTAAAATATTTCATCACAAAAAATAAATTATTAGCAAATAAGGTTTGTTTGTCCTACTCACGAAATTGAGTGTATCCTAGACCGGCGCCATGATATTATTGTTGTATTCTAAAATTTTTCAGTATATTTTTTTTTCCCTGAACACTGTGAATAAGGTGAAGAATTAATTGTGTAGTGAATATCCTTTTATATACGTTGGTACCGAAAAAAGTTATTGATGAAAATTATTTAAATAAAAAGATATTGTTGTGATTTTATCATATAAATGATTTATATATCTATAGTACCAAAAATAGATATTGTACCGAAAATAGGAGATTTATTCCATAGTATATATCTATTGCAATTAATGCTCGATGTTATGTTAATCTAGCCACAAAAAATCGGAAATCTTGGCGTGAAATAATGATTTATTCCATAAACAATTGTTGTTAATCGGAAAAAAAGATAAGAGTGATTTTAGGAAATTATGTGCAATTAATGCTTGTTTTGTTAATACAACCACAAAAATGGCTATGTACGTTCTAAATTATGTG